TTTCGTTCTCGTTTTCGATGGTGTGCAGAAATTAAACCCGGTGCCCCGATCTCCTTCTTTCTCCTGCCCCCCCCCAGGTTGGGAATTACAAGCGCACGGTGAAGCGCATAGACGATGGGCACCGACTGTGCAGCGACCTCATGAGCTGCATCCACGAGCGCGCGCGGATCGAGAAGGCCTACTCCCAGCAGCTCACGGAGTGGGCCAGGCGCTGGCGGCAGCTCGTTGAGAAAGGTGAAGGGCTCGGCTTCGAGTGGGGCGGGGGTTGCTTTCAGCTTTCCGTTTTTCATCTGGCGCCAGAGGGCATTCGGGGGTTTTCCTTTCTGTTGTTCCAGTACGGCCCATAAACACACGGCCTGTTCTCACAGTGTGCATTCTCGAACCTTTCAGTAGAAGTAACAAGCGAGCAGCAGTGCACAGAGACAGCATATGACCTTTTTGCAGTGCCTGGCCAAACCTTAAATCGCTTTCACGGGAAAAAGCATTAACGTGTAGGTCACTACCTACTGTCGTGCTCTACAAACACAACATGCTTTTGTGTTGTGAGAAGAAACAAATTATTCAAATTTGAATCATGAAATAATTCAGATTCCTCAGACTCTGGAACACCAAGCTGACAAGTAGCGATTTTCTGACTTAGCTGGAATTGCATGCCTGTAAAACTTCACAGTCTTCTCTCGGGCGTGCCCTGCCAACAGGACATGCCCTGGATGTTGTGCTCCTGAGACGTGTTATGCTGAACACACAGTGTTGTAGATGGCAGAGGTTTGTTTTATGTCAACGACAGGGCAGTGGTGTTCACTTCATGCCCACCGAGGTTGTCCATTTAATTGAAAATGAGCATGCAGGCAGAGGGGTTAATGATTATAGTTTGGAGGAATAACCTGCTCTCAGTGCCCATTTTCCGTCTTGTTGCCAGGCTTGTTAAAGCAAACCCTCCCGTGTCGCATTGGCCACCTGCCTGCACAGACCTGTCGGGAGTTCTAGGTACCGTAGCCCAGCAGGCATTTCGGTTAAAAGTGAAACGTTTGAGTGTTCGGCTCATGCCAAGCAGAAGGAAAGCCACGCGCTTAAGGTCGTGCTCCCCACACGCGGAGCGCCCCTCCTTCTAACTGGGAGTGTGAATGGGATGTGCGCAGGGCCCCAGTACGGCACGCTGGAGAGGGCCTGGACCGCGGTGATGACTGAGGCGGAGAAGGTGAGCGACCTGCACATGGAGGTCAAGGGCGCCCTGATGAACGAGGACTTCGAGAAAGTCAAGAACTGGCAGAAGGAGGCCTACCACAAGCAGATGATCGGGGGGTTTAAAGAGACAAAGGAAGCCGACGATGGGTTTCGCAAGGCCCAGAAGCCCTGGGCAAAGAAACTGAAAGAGGTTTGTTTAATATTCCCATTTCGTGCGGTTTGTGTAATGCGTTCACAGTTTTCAATCGATGAACTCCTGCAAATCTCGTGACCCAGCTCTTGAAGTTGCAGTGTATCTGCTACAGAGCGTGCCAGGGCACCAGTCTAATTCTAGGATGCTTTTTTAAAGCTCCTATTTTGAAGTAAATCTAATTAATACTTACAGTACGCAGTCAGGGGGGAAAAAAAATTCTATGTAAGTTTATCATTAGTTCAGCTCAGGCGTAATGGAAAACATTTTGTCATGTGTGGTTATTGTCTTTGAACATTGTTTGGCAAAATCACGTGAGGCTTTTTTTTCCCTTTGGAAGTTTTCAGGTGACTTCTTTCTGATTTCTGTGAGTTTTTCTGCACTTCAGTAAAGCTGTGTGTCCAAAGTTCTGTTGCCGTCATCACTGAGGTCTTGATCACTCTTGTCTGTGAGGTGTAACCATGGAGTACAAAGCATTATGTCTCTGTTTATAACCTTTGGAAACTACTGAATAAGAAGTCTGAAACACTAGACCTTCAAAATGAACTGCACTAACTTATTATAACAGCAACATTCAACTTTTAACAGAGATTTCAAAGGATATGCAGAAGGAGCGAATATCTGAATTTGGTGAATTTTTCTTTTGATAATGAGGGAAAAAGAGAAAAGAAAAAGTCTTTAGGAAGTTCTGCTGTGCTTCTGAGACCTGTTTTATTGCTGTGCTTTGTTACTTCATTGGTAAATGTCTGAACAGACCCATTCATTAATGGATTCATTATCCTTTCCTGTTGTGATAGTCTTTCTTTTCAAACTATTCGAGTTTGAAGCCCTTATGTTGTACTCGTAGAAGGAATTGGCTCCTGTGGGGTATTTTTAGTGTGTAGGCTGTTGGCATAGACTGAGGAAATAGTATTGTCTTGACCACAGTTCATATCCCTTGTTTGTCCAAAACCCACTGATAAAACTGAGAGAGAACCAAATAAAAAAAAACTCTTGGAAAGATTAATTTAGAATTTTTTGCAGTTACTGTTAAGAAAACAAATTGATGGACAAGTGATAAACTCTTTACCAGAACTGCTGTCTGTTCTACTGATCACTACAGATAGAAGGTGTGATTGCATTTTATGCATGTCTGATGATTGAATGAAAAAGACGTGATGCTTTTAATGCTGTAAACGCAAATGTGCAGCCTGTAGAAAGCCTGTAGAAAGTTGTTCCTTATTGTCACAATATGGTGAATAAACTCCTGTTGCGGTCCATTTTACATCTGGATGTAAACCATTTATATGTGGCACCACAGCTAGATAACTACTTACAGTTTACAGCCAAGCAACCACCACGCTCGAGCAAGTTCACCAAAACTATTTTAAAATATTTTTTTCTGTTTTAGGTAGAAGCTACCAAGAAGGCATATCACTCCGCCTGCAAAGAAGAGAAGCTGGCAACAACGAGGGAGAGCTCCAGTAAGCTGGACCCCAACCTGAACCCTGAGACGCAGAAGAAGCTGCAGGACAAAGTGGAAAAGTGCAGACAGGAAGCGCAGAAGGTGGGGGGGCGGGAGAGCGTGTGTGAGTGTGTGTACGCGCGCACAAGCCGGTCTCGCGAACCGCGGGTGTGTTCTCGGTCGCCCCTGGCGACGGCTCTTCAATACCGTGCAGCCACAACATCTGATGCTGCTGGTTGCTGGGCTGTAAACTTTGTCCTGCTTGTCAGTTTCATGTCGTGAGGTTGGAAACTCTGCCATTGGCTTTCAGTAGGTCTTGCCTTCTGCTAAATGTGTCTTCTGTGCAGTCTAGACAGTAGTAATTTGACGAAGATTATTAACGCTAATGTTGTGAAACAACAGTTACTTTACATGTAGCACTTTATTAAAGGGTGTGAGGTGATAGGAAGGTCATTGTCACAGTTACTTAAATAATATTTTAGTTCTAAATAGTGTTTTATCAAGTAAACACTATTAGTGACTGTTAATGCGAAATTACAATTTAACTATATTAGTAAATAATGTAAATATAATAATGTATTATATTACTTTATAATAATCACTAAATTATATGATAAAATTATCATTAATATTTTATGTATGTTAAGTTTCTTAATGCATGTTTCAAAATTACAGAATTATGCCCCAATATCGGCACCAACGCACTATTAGAGCAGAGTACTGCACAGAAATCAAAACTTAAGCATTCAGTATCTTCATCCTTCATTATCATTCTGTTTCTACATAGTTCTTACCCCAGGTTTGTTTGTGGTAGAACACAGTGTTCATGGAGCAAAGGGCCTGCAAATGAGTCCCTCTGGTATTTCAGCAGGACTCCTAGTCTGTGTCCCAGTAGGATGTTTCCCTCCCAGCCTGTGGCCAGTAGTGTTGGATACTGTCAGGCAGAAGAGAGCTCAGTGTCGACAGTGTTCATGAGCTACCTGATTGGAGGACACAATACAGCCAGGTGTCTCAAGGTTACCGTTTATGGAACTGTTGGAGAGAGATCAGAACACTTCCGGGTCAACACGGCAGTCAGAGGTCACAGGCGATGGTTGCAGCAGTTGCTGATGCATGTGTATCGAAACCCGCAATTCCCTACTGAATGACACTCAAACAAAACGCCTCTGTAAAGCGTTAGTTTAAAGAAAAAAAACGAGCTATAGAAACTATTCAAAGGAAAAGATAGAATAATGCAGGAATCGCCTTGCCCAAAAGATCCAGAACTGCGAGATCAATAGGGGTGACTGGCTGCCAGAAAACATCTGTAGAGGAAGGATCCGCTGCTGTAAAAGCGGACTGCTGCTCGTCTTGCTGGAGACCAATTAATCGTATGTGTTAAGACCGCAGGATGTGCTTCCAGGTAGATCAAATCTAGCAAGTCACGAGTTTGCATACAAGCCCAGCATGCTCCTTCAGTTTGCAGTTTGCAGCAAATTGTCATTGGATCTTGTCTGGCTTACTTGCTGCATGAGAACAGTGTTTCTTTGAAATATCTTTAAAGCCCATCGGACAGTTATGGGATGACCCCTGTGATGTCAAGTGTTAACCTTTAGGCTCCGCTGCAGAACCCTGACAACCCCTTCGTCACGGGGGAAGCTGTGTATTTGTCCCCGTGAAATGTGAGTTTCTGCAGTGAAGTGCGTTTTCTCGGTTTAGTCGTTCGCCCTCTGGCCTGGTGGAGGAGCTTACCGGGGGGAGGTGCGAGTGGGAGTCCCTGCCGCGTGCCGCACCGTGCCGGCGTCCTGGCTGACCCTCGCATGTTGATCTCTGTCCGCGCAGACCAAGGAGAAGTACGAGAAGGCCCTGGAGGAGCTCGATAAGTGCACGCCCCAGTACATGGAGAACATGGAGCAGGTGTTCGACCAGTGCCAGCAGTTCGAGGAGAAGAGAATCGACTTCTTCAAGGAGCTGCTGCTGGAAGTGAAGAAACATCTGGACCTCTCTACCAACCCCGGGTGAGACACCGCGTATGAGCACACTGACCTGCGTCTCCCTGGGGCTGGCTGTCAATTCATCCTCCGTTTAGAGCCATGATACTCATGTTTAGGCCATTCTTCACTTGTTGGAACTAGTGGCTTTAGTTGATTTCCTATGGCAAGGCATACTTGAAAATCTAGTATACTCGCTAGTGCGATTCTCTTTTAGCGAGCATTCGTGCTAGGACAGGTATTCTGTTGGAGTTATGCTATCTGACGTGCTGACAGCAGACTAGAGTTCATGCAGAAACTGCTCCCTGCCTGGTGATATGGTAATATGATGCCTCTGTGTGAGTTTCATGCAACAGACGGTTTTGTCCCCGTTTGCAGCTATGCGGCGATTTACCATGACCTGGAAGACACAGTCAATGCGGCCGATTCCGACGAGGACCTGAAGTGGTTCAGATCTAACCACGGCCCCGGGATGCCGATGAGCTGGCCACAGTTTGAGGTACCGTGCACGCCGATCTCGACGCGCCGAGCCCAGGAAGAGAGCTGCATGAGGTTAGGGGAGTGAGCACATTGCTCTCTGTGGCTGCTCACTACGCTGTCCACAACTGCTACAAAAACACTACCAATGGCATTACCATTTGGTTATTTTAATCCACACAACCCGAGTCAGAAATGAGAATGGAGAGAGTATTGTCATGCATACTTTTAAATGTTAAATGTTTGGAATGCAGGAATATTCAACCGTCAGTGGGCATCACTGCCGAGATAATGCATTTGCTGATAACATCATTAGGTGTCCTGTTACACGTTTATATTGAAATCCTAGGGAAATGAAGCGCTGGAGGCATGTGTGGTTCTGAAATTGATGCGCTTCTTCGTTATCTGCGCGGGGGCATCTCACAATGCAAAAACCAGCTCTGGCAGGCTGGATTAAACCAGATTAAACAGTCTGGCGGACAGAGGACTTGAGGTTTATTTTAAATATCACACAATGCAAATTGTCATGTCAGGTGAAAATGTCACATTGTAAAGAGCCGTCTTGGCATTAGAGGTCACTTGCACAGAACACTGGTCACACAACCGGCGGAGCAGTGGCTCTGTGGCTCAGGATCTGCGCCTGTGGCTGGAAGGTTGCTGGTTCAAATCCTGCGGCCGGCGGAGGAATCCTATTCCGTTGGGCCCCTGAGCAAGGCCCTTCACCCCAGCTGCTCCAGGGGTGCTGTATAAATTGCTGACCCTGCGCTCTGACCCCCAGCTTCTCTCCCTGTCTGTGTGTCTCATGGAGAGCAAGCTGGGGTCTGCGAAAAGACAAATTCCTAATGCAAGAAATTGTATATGGCCAATAAAGTGATGTTACGTTGTTGTTATTGTTACAACGGAGCAGATACCCATCCAATGATTTCTCATTGCTTGGCCTTGTGTTTTATATACAGAAGGGTCTGATGGGGATAATATCACACAGCTCTGGACCATCCTACAGTGCTTAGGCACGTTAATTGTAAAACAGTCTTACAGTAGATTCATTAACTTTACAATCTTGAAATAGAAGTCTATGGTCCCCAATTAACAATCCTCATAATACATTTTGTTTTCATCATACTTTTACTGAGTCTTTTAATTCCTCTAGTAGCACGATGTTTAAACTCTTAAACATGCCACATGTTTTTTTTAAATGATTTTGTCAAAATGAAGCCCATGGTTGGATTGTGTTCTTAGTGTGCAATACTGATAGTACAGGTCAATAACAGTTACCTCTCACAGGAACAGCACCATGAAGACTTTAAAAATGAGCAAGAAATACTCTTTTGTTATTTGAAACACTTCTCTTGTAAATGTAAAAGTAATGTAAAACCTGTCTGTTCCACTTGTTCATAGTGGGTTTAGTTTTGTGTATAGACCTTTATAGTATAGTACAATGGTGGGGCTATAGGTATTTAAGATGCCACAATCATTTTATTGTCTCACAGTACAATTTTTAATGAGCACAGTATAGCTTAAGCTTGATCTTATATGACCTGCCCATGTCCAGCTGATCCAACCCATTGTTTTCTTGCTTTTTAACCCTTTTAACAGACATATGAAGCACCACTGAATAGGAGATGGTCCATAGTAGTGAGTTTTGCATGAAAATGGACTTTTTTAAAATCTGCGTAGTGGTTGTGGGGTTGATGTCTGAACCCCAGAAGTCTTGATGCTTTTCTTCTCACCTGTCTCCCCTTGAGTCGGTGCTGTGGCGAGGCATAAGCACGCAACTCTGGATGGCCAGCGCCTTTTTGCTTCTCCTTGTGATCGGCCCATGCGTTGTCCTGCTGTCTTGCCGAGATGCCGACATCAAATGTTGCCTGCTTCTTGTGCATTTTGGGAGAAAATGGCTGTTCCTATTTGGCCTAGGATGACATCCGCAGTGCTCGCAAATGGAAACGTGTGCTTGCTTTATCACCGCGATTCAGATTATAACCGAGCTCGTGAGTAATGGGAAAGTTCCATCTCGGGAGCCTGGCTCGTTTCGAGTTGGCTGGATGGGGAAGCTCGCTGCTTAACCGACAGAGTCCCCCCCTTGGCCTTTACCCTTTTACTGCAGGCAAGGAACCAGCGTGTAAAGCAGCTCCTGTGTCAGTCTTTTAAAGATCCTTCAAGCAGGTTTGGCTTTTCAAACTGAAGGGTTTGGGGGTGCCGTTCACCCCACACCCACTGCCCTGGTCAGTTTGAGGTCTCGCTGACAGCACTCTCTCGGGGACACAGGTCACCCTGCCTGGCTTGTGACTTAAATCAGTGCATGTTTCCCCTTCAGTCTCGCTGTCCAATCAGCTTATTTCTTTCACTGTTTTTTTTTTTCTCGTGTAGAAAATTTAATGATTCTTTCCGTTTTTTAAATGCTTTCGATGGGTAAAGAGTGACGTAAGTGTTGGTGTTTTCTTCTACTCCCTTTTTGTGCGGTGCAGGAGTACCGTACCGTATTTTTTTGGTAGGCAGTTTCTCCCGAACTGTGTTCAATACACTTCACTTTTTATGACGCCTCCTGTGTCACAGTGACAAAAATGACCAGAGACCGACAGCTGCAGGCCAGCGCACTATTGAGGGAGTCTCGTGCCCTGCGTGGAGCACAGACTGGTTTTAAATGGAAAACCGTGATCACAGAGAGGGTGTTTCCGAGCAAAGGGCACAGCCTCAAATCGCTGAGCTCTGAGGGCTTTTCTCTCCTCGGAGAGGTTGTGGAGTATTTCAGCAGTGATGGAGCTGCTAGAGAACATCCCAGGTGTATAACCCACTTCTGTCTAGAGGTCTGGGAACTGTTCCTCAGGGCGGGGATCTGGTGTTGGCAGATTCTCCTCTGCTAGTGGAAATGTAGTGTAACACTTCCTAAGAGTGCAGCAGCAGCTCTGTAGAACCACACCCCTGGGTTCCTATGTCCATCCTTCAGAAGCACTCTCATCCCTGCGTTGCCCTGAGATCTCCATGTGGGTTGGCTAATTCCAGCGATGGTCTGTCACTGTTTCTCATCACTGTTTTGCAGGTAAGGTCTTAATTGTGCTACACGGTCGTGCTCTCAGGAAAGTAATGCTAAGACTTGACTTTGGTGGATTCCTTTGGGGCTGTGCTGCATCCTGGAACGGTCATTTTGAGACCATTAGATTGACCTTTGTATTTTTATTCACGTTTCTTTACGGGGAGGTAGTACGGAATGACATGTTCATGAACTTTTTGTGGAACCTGTGGTTCGGAGTTCATTGTTGGTTGAGGAAAATAGAAGTGAAAGAATCTCCTGTCAGCTGCACCCATTGTACAGCCTCAGTTTCTCACAGTTTTGCTTTCCCCTTTTGAACATTCCTTTTACTTCAGTTTTATTTTTTGTTTTCCAAGGAAAGGCTGCTTTGGAACAATGTGTGTTCTGTGAGCACAGGTACCCGTGTATGTCAGCTAGGTGTGTGCCTATGTGGAGGCTGTCCTGGACAGTAGCCCGCGTAAAACCAGGAGGGAGAGAGAGAGAGAGACTGCTGCCTCCAAGCGGGAGCAGAGCCGTCTTCTCTAGTGTAGAGGAACGTTTTATTGAACAGCGCAGGGGTCCTCTGAGTTATGAAACAGGCTGACAGTGGATCTGGGGCATTACACAGTAAATAATAAAGTGTAGGTTATTCAAAAATAAAGAATCCCTGCACCATGGCTTCCGGTAGGAAGGAGGAGGCATGAATTACAGTAGCCTTTGACACTTGGGTTGGTTTGTTCACATTGAGCTCCAGTTGCTGCAATTGGCTGGTTATTCGTGAAGCTGTCTGGAAGGGCCATGAACACTCTGACCCGCCTCTCGGGGATTCAGTCACTCCATAGTGACCCCCCACCCCTGTGAAGTACGTGAAAGAAAGAATGAAGCTGCTTTATATGCAAATAATCTGCTTTACACTTTGTTATATCAGCAGTCGCTAGTGTGACTTGACACCTCTGTTATAACAATGAGATTTTCAGGTTTACTGTAACTATGCGTTGCTCCTGGTGTGTTCCATGGGTTTCCCACAGCTGTGATTCGCTATGCCGAAAGCAGTGATTAGAATCTGTATTTTAATTGTAATCATAAACACATTCGTTGCTTCTCAGATTTGCATGCCAGAAGATGCTTTTAAAACGTTTTTAATAAAAATCAAGTGCTAATTCTAACTTTATGTACACAGCGCAGCTGTGCAGACCTTTTACACATTTTCAGTGCAAAAAATACCTCAAGCTGTAGTCGTCTGCTGTATATGAGCATCCTTCTGAGATTTTCCGGCATGTTAATTGTGAATCAGGTTATGAAATGAAAGCCTCCTACCTCTGTGGGCCGTGAGCTGAAATATTTTCCGCTGGGATGGCGCGCGGCGGTCCGGGCCCGCGGGGGCGGGGGGCCGCCGGGCTGAGCAGCAGCCTGAGGTGCCGGTGTGTTGCAGGACTGGTCGCTGGACCTGAACCGGACCCTCAGCAGGCGGGACAAGAAGAGGCCCAGCGATGGGGTGACTCTGACAGGCATCAGCCAGACCGGGGAGCAGGCCGCGCCGCCGGCCAGGAACAGCAGCAGGTACTGTGCCCCGGCGTCTGTGACCCACACACACACACACACACACACACACACACACACACACACACACACACACACACACACACACACACACACACTCTGAGGCAGCCTGCCGCACGGCCTGCCTGCCGGCTCATCGGCCCTCCGGAAGATAATTCCGGAACGCCGACTTTTAAAAGCTGCGATTTTGTCGCGGTCTTATCGGAACTGCAGATTTCTTTCTCTCGGCTGAGCGGGCCGTGCGGCGGACAATTCAGGACCTCAGTCGGTATTTGCAGAAGCTTGTTGACATTCCAATGCTTAATATTTAATTTAGTGATACTCTTCTGTAGATATTTGACTTGCGTCAGTTTGGTATGCTTTTCTAGCGGAAACATAATCGTCTGTCACGGCTGTGGTGCCTGTCCAGACCGCTCCGCCAAGCACTGGATTACCAGTGAAGTTGTGCTCGTACATGGTGGACCCAAGGAGACATGGACACCAGCCATGTTCTCCGACAGAGATGGGTCACTCGGAAGTTTCTTGTGTCACACTTCGGCCCACAGTCCCTCTCAAGCCTGAGGACCCTGCCTCTGCCTTTCCTGCCCCGCTTTCTGGGCCTCAGCTGGCCGGTCGCACAGGCTGGCTTTTTCAAAACCCAGCAACTGTGCTTTTCTGTCCCAAATGCTAAAACGCTTCACAGTGCAGCGCAGTGCAGCTTGTACAGCAATGTGTTAGTCGAAGTCGAGTTCAATAAGTAACCTGTGAACCCAGAATCCTGTGATGTTTTGGGGAATGTCCTGTGCAGAAGCTGAGTATTGAGATGTGAAGCCTTAAAGGCCCACATTATAAAGCAGGCAATGATTTATAATGCACATGCAATATGGATTAAAGTTTTTGTTCCTGTACAAAATAAAATTGAATATATGCCTGTAAACATAACCTATTTATCTGGATGCGTAATTGACCATGTGGTTAATGATCATCACTTATTTCCTTCTGTGTGTTTTCTCCCGCATTGAAGATGCAGCTGTGTTGTAACCCTCTGTTTCCCCATTATTAACCTCAGTGTGCAGAATAGCTCTGAACAGCCCAGCTTAAACCCCTTCGAAGAGGAGGAGGAAGAGGAGGAAACTGTGAAAGAAGAACAAAACAGCAGTCCAGTCAGTGAAAAAAAAGAGGAGGTTAAAACTAAAAAGTTGGTGAAAGCCTATTTTCATTGTCTTAAAAACCTTTTCCCTCCCTCTCTTTTCCCTTCTCAGTCTTCCAGGTGTCTGTGTACTAATGCATGGACTTCACTGGATGTGGACTTGTCTCTCTGCAGTGCTGTGGAAAATCACGTCTCTTAACAGAGTTTTGTCTCGATGATCAGCCTGTCATTTTATTTCCTTCATAAACACGGGTTCGGTGCTACTGTGCAGTCAAACCTGTTGCTCATATTCAGAGAAACTGGGGGACATGAGAGGAAATTGTGCAGAAGAGCATTTTAAAACCGAGAGCAGACTGCACTGCTTTACACAGAGGGTTGTGGGAGCATGGAACAAACTCCCCAGCTTTGCTGTTGAAGCCGACAACCCTGGCTTCTTTCAAAAGATGCCTGGCAGATCAATTGGCTACTGAAAACTTCATAAGCTACATGAGCTGAACGGCTTCTCGTTTTTTACTTTCGTTCTGCTCTTCTGCTCACTGAGGACTGAGTAAAGAGATTTAAAATTCAGGGACCATCCCAGGCTCTTCCGTGTTCGCGTGTTCCACGTCATGCGTGCGGTCAGCAGCTCCGTCGCTCCTCTCACGTCAGGTAGCTGACATCAGGAGGAGCTGGGACCCAGGTGACCGTTGTGGGTGGCATGGCTCCGCACAGGTTCGACTGTATAAGCAGCTTCAGCCCCGTGCCTTTTCCCCTTGTGCCCTCCCCCTTTGTGTGTGTTCTGCGTGTGCGTCCGTGCGCAGTGCGGGGCGTGATCAAGCGCACATCTCTCGACCCCCCGCGGGTGGCCGGGTCGGCACGCCGCTGCGAGCTCGTGATGGGACTGCAGGCGGACCTGCAGGACGTCTGCCTGTGCTCAGACCCTGGGCTCTTGCCTTCAGTGACTTTGCATCGCCCTGTCAAACCCCATTGTACGGCGTCAGACTCCGGTGAACTAATACATAGTGTGGATTTCTCTAACTGGATCCTTGTGCTTCAGTGTTTGTCTTTGCCACACCTCAAAATAAACAGAACAGGCTTTGCTTGCTGACAGATGGTTTGTGTTTTGCACAGGCGGTAAAAGCATTGAGTGTGCCGACACCCAGTGGGCTTTTCAGTAAGGTCTGTTCACCTCTCCTGTTGCCGTTTTCAAAACGCTTCAAAACATCTTAACAGCCTTTTTGTTTTGTAGCCAGAAACTGCTCTCTCTTTTTCCGGAGCTAGCCTGCTCTGTTGGCTCCTGTGCCGATGATGATTACCAAGCCCCTGACGGGTTGGCTGTGTCTTTGGGTGTTTTTGCAGCGCTGGCAGTGGGGAGAAGCCCCAGGACTTGTCCGACGATGAGTCGGGGAACCCCTTCTCCGCGACCAGCGCCAACGGCAACGGGAACCCCTTCGAGGAGGAGCCGTCCCCCGGGATAGAGGTGCCGGTCAAGGCGCTGTACGACTACGACGGCCAGGAGCAGGACGAGCTCAGCTTCAAAGCTGGTGCGATGGCCTCTTCTTTAGTTGCAAGATTTGGTTTTTCCCTGGGGCTGGGGTGGGGGGGGGTGGGAAGTGAGCAGAACCACGAAGATGCCAGCTTTTTGTCCGGCAACGATCCGGCTTTGGACGGGGGGAGGTGTGCGGCTGATGAAAGGCAGCGTAGGCCCCCTCCTTTTCGGTCGTTTGAGCTGCGGCCTGTCGGCCTGCGGACCTCAGTCACGCGTTCGGAGACCGACGCAAAAGAGCAGTTCAGACCCCAATCGAGTCCGCCGGCTCCAGGGCTGTGCGAGTGGCGCGTCACGGTCTTGGAAAGAGAGTTCTCACCTCGCCTTTTGTGTTTTTGTCTTTTTCCCTTCCCTCCCCGTTCCTGAAGGCGACGAGCTGACCAAGATCGGCCACGAGGACGAGCAGGGCTGGTGCAAAGGGCGACTGAAGGACGGCCAGATCGGGCTTTACCCGGCTAACTACGTGGAAGAGCTCCAGTAACCGGGAGGAGGGGGGGGGGGAGCGTTTTCGCGAAAAATGGTACATTATTTAGCTTCTCGTAATCTTCCAAGGACTGCGGTGAAAGAGTGAACTGTGTACATACAGAACACCAGATGTTGCGCTGGTGCCCAGTGTTTGATCTCCGGGTGGTGCTGAAGCAGGTCTCGCCGGGGCTCGGCTCTCAAGCGAGCGCGTCGAATCGCTCGGCGAGGATCGGCCGCTGCATCGCAATGCGGAGCAGACCGCACTAGACCTGTCCGCACGGGCACCGCAGAGCAGGAGCCTGGAGTTTGCTTTTGCAGGCCTTGTAAATACGATTTTATGCTGTTTTGAAATACCCTCTTATTTTTTTAACGTATAGTGTTAATATTGGTGCACGTGGAGCGCTCGGCGATGGCTCTGTGCAGCGCTGCTGCGGCCGTGGTCTGTTCAGGTTGCCAAGAAGCACGGGGAGGCCCGTGTCAGCTGTATGTCGTCTCCGCTTTGGGGTGTGAGGGAATGAGTGTCTGTATCGTGTTGCAGCTGCTCGTCTTTGAACTCCGTGCTGTTGGGGCCTGTGATAAACTCTCCTCCGGGAGTCGCAGCTGCTGGGAGCACATGGACCTTCCGGCTCAGGCTGGGTATCCGTGTGGACAGCATCGACACCGTACAATACTTATTTTATCCCAAATATTACACATCTGTTATTTTTTTTTCTTATTGGCAGTAATGGGTAGCCTTTCATTTCTGGCTGTATGGCTGCGCTAGTACTTAAATGAGCAAATTTCAGGCCTCAATCTAAAAATAGTAACTGTTCTTATATATATATATAGGCTCAGACGATTTATTTTTAAATGCCTTATGTCTCCCTCGATGCTGAAATATTTATTGAGTCAGCACTGGACGTTTCAAGTGGTGCTGATCACTATTTTAGAAACTGTGGTAAAAGATGTTGAAAGAACAACAATGAATGTTTTCACTTATATAAAGTATTTTCACTTGTATATAACAATGAACAACTAGAAATTTGGGGTTTCTTTTACATATAAATCAAAGAAAGATAATTTATACCATCTTTAGCCGCTTCCTTGATGTTTGTAGAATGCTGTGATTTAAGTCAATTTGTATAGTAGTTGAATATTTTTATTAAATGTCATGAGTGATTGGGTTATCTTACTACTTGTAAATACACATTTGTTTCTCAGAGGGTAATGTCATGGAATCAATAAATTTAAGAAACCCATGAGGGTTACATTTCATTTTTTAATTATAAATTAAATTTAATGCATTTGCTATTGTTCTCACAGTTGTTAATTATATTTCCGCTTTAATTACTTATGTATTCCTGTTTTTCTTCCTCCTCTTGCTCCTAAGAAATATTATTTGTGAATTCGAGCTAGCAACGTTTTTTGCCATTATTTGAAATGAAAGTTTCTCCGAACATGCAACTGCAGGCGTTTTGGAAGAACATGTAGTATCAGCACCTTGTAAGAATGTAATTAAAAATTAAGCTACACTTGCACAGTTCTTTTTGTAAATGGCTCACTTTTATCATAAAATAAAAGGATTGCAAAAGGTTTTTGATTTCATGATGAGTTTGTTACACGAAGGAGACATGACTGCTCCAGATAGGGAGAAGATTCAATAATTGCTTACACTTAAATAGCGCTTTTCTGGACACTCCACTCAAAGCTCTTCACAGGTAATGGGGATCCCCTCCACCACCACCAGTGTGCAGCCCCACCTGGATGATGCACCAGTACACTCCCCACACACCAGCTCTCAGTGGGGAGGAAAGCAGAGTGATGATGGGGATTATTAGGAGGCCATGATTGGTAAAGACCAAGAGGAAATTTGGCCAGGACACTGGGGTTACACCCCTACTCTTTTCGAGAAACACCCTGGGATTTTTAATGACCACAGGGTCAGGACCTCAGTTTTACATCTCATCTGAAGGATGGCGCCTGTTTACAGTATAGTGTCCCTGTCATTAGGACTCACACAGACCGCAGGGTGAGCGCCCCCTACTGGCCCCACTAACACCTCTTCCCGCTGCAACCTTAACTTTTCCCAGGAGTCTCGCATCCAGGTACTGGCCAGGCTCACACCTGCTGGGCTCCAGTGGGCTGCCAGCAGTGAGCTGTGTCTCTTGTCAGCAGGAACTGGGAAGCTGGTCATGATTGATGGAGACATAGATGGAGCAAATTCTGGTAAATCATGAAGGAAAACCAGTTTCAGACTTAAAAAAAATTGGACAAATATTCATTTCTCAACGGGACAGTGATCAAAAGCATAAGGTCAAAGCTACACTGGATTGGCTTGAGAATGAGAAAGGGAATGTCCTGACATGAATCCTGTTGTGAATCTGTAGAAAGACTTGAAAACTATTGTCCATAAGAGATCCCCAAGCAACCTGAGATAACCTCAGCAAATCTGCCAAAGAATAATGGATACAAATTGCACCAGGCTAGTGTGTAAACTTCGTAGAAACCCAAAAAGACATTTCTCGATACAAATCTACCATATCAAGTTTTATTTGCAGATCTGGTTACTTTTGTGAAAACAATCGTTACGTTTGTGAAGAGCAATCTATTTCCCCTGAGTCCTGAGGAGTCTAGCTGGTGTCAGTGCCTGGACAGTACGCAGTTTCCTCTGATCAAATCAACAGAAGGAGGAGAAGGTTTGATTGTTCAAATCAATTATAATTGCACTAGCTCACAAGTTCGATTAACTAACAGTAGATATTACGGCTTAGATTTGTCTTCCTTCTCCCCTGTTTAAATCGATTTGTACACATGCGGCCATATAGCTTTCACGCTTCTGCCTATAGCGCCCCCTGGTGGGCATTATATACAACAGTCCGTCAATACTGAAATGCTGTACAGCGCTTGTTACTTCCATTTTCAAAACCAATAGATCTTGACCTTCAAAATAAACTTTTCGCTACATTTATGCATGCATGTAGAAAAAGCAAGTACATGGTTTTGGTTTTTGCATTTTTGTCTTTGTTTTTGTTTGATTATTCGTGGTTGATACACCTCATCACTGAGAGACTTCCTTGGGCACAGGTGCTGTTATTTATTCCACCTGGGTCAGATACCAAGCCTGGTGAGAATCAGGAATGAAAAACACAGCAAGGAACCAGTCTGCACATCCTCTCAAGAGAACAGCGCCTCTATTCTCCTCAGCACAGGGGAGGCTGAACTGTGTGTGTGTGTAGCTGCTGTGTTGGTAGTCCTCAGTGTGGGAAATGGGGAGGTCCAAGTGTGGTGCACTGGGCATCACAGAGCTGTGCTTGTAGTGATCACTGGCAGCCTGACTGTACGCCACTGCATTGACGAGGATCGGGATATGATATGTGTTGATATGCTGGCAGCCGTATCACCCTGCAACTCACTGCTGGCAGCCCACTGAAGCCCAGCAGGTGTGAGCCTGGTCAGTACCTGGATGGGAGACCTCCTGGGAAAAACTAAGGCTGCTGCTGGAAGAGGTGTTAGTGGGGCCAGTAGGGGGTGCTCACCCTGCGGTCTGTGAGGGTCCTAATGCCCCAGTATTAATAATAATTAATAATTACTTACACTCATACAGTGCTTTTCTGAACACTCCACTCAAAGGTCTTTACAGGTAATGGGGATCCCCTCCACCACCACCAGTGTGCAGCCCCACCTGGATGATGCACCAGTACACTCCCCACACACCAGCTCTCAGTGGGGAGGAGAGCAGAGTAATGAAGCCAATTCATAGATGGGGATTATTAGGAGGCCATGAAGGCCAATGGGAAATTTGGCCAGATTGCCAGGTTTACACCCCTACTCTTTTCGAGAAACACCCTGGGATTTTTAATGACCAAAGAGAGTCAGGACCTCAGTTTTACATCTCATCCGAAAGGTAGTGCCTTTTTACTGTATAGTGTCACCGTCCCTATACTGGGGCATTAGGACCCACACAAACCACAGTGTGAGCGCCCCCTGCTGGCTCCACTAACATCTCTTCCAGCAGCAGCCCCAGCTTTCCCAGGAGTCTCGCATCCAGGTGAGATAAGATAAGATTTTATTGTTCCCTGAGGGAATTGTTTTAGGGACACCCAGCACTCCTGTACATTTAAATAGAATGCAAACAAAATAAAAGAAGAAAAGAAAAACACTGCACATTATTCTATTACTCTATTGCACATTATTCTATTATTCTAATAATAATTAATTATTATTAATTATAATTATTATTACAAAAAAAAAGAAACACATTGCACATCACTCTATTGCACATGTACAGTATAACACATAGCAACATGTAACACTTATAACACATCACAAAACATATCGCACTCAAGTGGGCTGTAAGAGTCAAAATTGTGTTTATCCTTGACATCTGCGTTGACAGCTTTAATGGATAGTGGAACAAAGGAATGTTTGTATCTGTTTAACTTACATTTGGGAACCCTAAAACGTTTGCCAGAAGGAAGGAGTTGATTTTCAGGCCTGATGATGTGGGAAGGATCTGATATACTTTTTCCTGCCTGTTTGATTAGGGATTTTACAAAGATTGTCTGCAGGGAGGGGTGCTGTTTCACTCCCATGACTTTCAAAGCTGTCTGGAAGAGGCGGGTAATTTGCGATTTTAAATGAACTGATAGATGACTAAACCACACTGTAATACAATATCTGATAACGCTCTCGATTACAGCACGGTAGAAGAGTAGTATTACTTCCTGTCGAACCCCAAACACTCTTAGTCTTCGCAGGAAATATAAGCGCTGCTGAACTTTGGAGCAAACACCCTCAACATGAGTAGTCCAGCACGGGTTACTGTCTATGTGTACTCCTGAGTACTTATTTGGATCTACCTGAGTGATAAGTTCATTGTGGATTACTACATGTGAGTGATCACCAACTGCTCCGGGATCAAAAACTATTTCTTTTGTTTATTTAACATTCAGAATGAGGCTATTGTTGTCACACAATTGCACAAGCCTTTGGATTTCTGACATGTATACAGATGAGCTGCTACCTCTATACATTAAGCCCGGGAACAGCTGTATCATCTGAGAATTTGAAAATGAAGCTGCTTTGACTACTGCTTGTACAATCATTTGTATAAAGTGTGAACAGAACTGGAGAGCTCACACAGCCCTGAGGGGCACCTGTGCTCATAGATCGTGACTCGGAAACAGTTTTGTTGACCCTGACATACTGTGTACGATTTGTTAAAAATAAATGGTACCATCTTATTATGTTATGGTTAACAGACGTACTGACCAGACTCACACCTGCTGGGCTTCAGTGGG